TTTTTGGTGGTAAATACATTTAACATGATCTATTAGGAGCTTACTGACTTTTATTTTTCTTTATTTATAAAATAAATTCCTTAAATGCTACAAACTTCAAAAGGAATTACGTATTTTATAACTTTTATACGTTTTTTAAAAGTGACAAATGGTTACCAATTTCATTCAAGAAAGCTGAAGTGATTGAAAAATGGAAACCTAAATTAAAAGTGGTAAAACGTGGTAGTAAGTAAACTTACCACGGCCTTCAAAAGGGTTAAGGGGTGATAAAAATTGTACCTCATTATCCGTTTTATTAGTTTGTCGATGTTTAAAGGTTTTTTATAATCCATTTTAAAATAGATATTTTGCAACATTAAATCATAAAAGAATTAATTTCCAATTTTTAAAAGATCAATTATTTTCATCTAAATGGTGATTTTAATCCAATCATAAGTAATTACTAGAACTAAACGATCAAGCGAATTAAAGAAAAATGTATCATTATAAAAGGGGTAAAAACTAATAATAAATTAGGTGAAAATGAGGCAAGTAAATTCTTAATGTAAGAAGTAATTAATGATCTGAGAATTAATTTACGAAATAGCAGTATAACCTTAGAATCCTCAATGAGATATTCAATTTCAACCTCTTGACGGTATGTGTTGATTTAGTGATTCGCTGTGCAAATGTAACACCTTTAGGCTTAAGACGTGATCTATTTAACCTTACTCAACCTCTGTAACCGCTTTTTAATCTCATTTGTCAAAATATCGATTAATTTATTTTTGCCAAAATATAAATTAATTTATTTTTGACTGATTGTTTTTTGTCCTCATTATAGATTCATTTTTCCTCTTTATTTGATTATCTTAATACTTTTAAAAATTGATTTGTCCCATCCTTAGCGTTTTACATAGTCGACTTATTTCTATCATTCAAAAATAAAAAAAAATCTTAAATTTTTTATTTGAAATATGGATTTATTTTCGAGACACTGATTCGTACTGTATTTAGAAATATTTAAAAAGTGGGGTCAATATTTTGAAATAAAAAATTAAGTAATTCTTTTCTTAGCTTTTACTTTAAAGATGAAAATATTTTATATGTGATTTAGGTTTTCCTTTTCTTGGCTTTTAATTTAAAGTTAAAAGTACTTTGTCAGTGATTTAGGAACTAGATATACTTGTTTCGAAATATTAGAATGGTAGTGAATACTAAAGTTAAACACGTCAGACAGAAACTTAAATCGTGCTATCTTTTGCAACATATATCATAGAAATATTGAAAAAAAAACGCTATTGCTTCGAAGTAATATGAATGACTGAAAACCCTTTTTTATGAATCTGAAAAGATAAAATACTGATATTAAGAGAAATTTCATTTTTTCGCTTTTATTTTCTTTAGGGAAGATTTGATCTATCTGTAACTGCTACAGGGTGCTGATAACTACTACAATTTTTGCAAATTTTTTTAAAGAGTTTGTAAACAATAAAAGTACAAAAGCTTTTATCATAATGGTTAATTTTTCCTAGCATTTTCAAAACTTTATTACCCCGTGGTAAAATTATTTAGGTAATATTTAATATTATTTAATTATAGCTAAATTATTATTTAAAACTACAAAAAGATAACAAGAATTAACTTTTTTTCATTAATACTAAATAATTTCTTTGGTGAAAAGAATTAAAGATTTTTTTGGTAGAAATAAAATATTAAATAAGAATTCAAAAAGACAAGCATGAAAAATGATGTTGCAATTGTAATTAAGCAAAATAATTAGGTTTGAATTTTCTGTCCTTAAGAATCGGAACTAAGTATGTGCTAATAGAACATTTTTAGAATTTTCACTGGAATAATTGTTAATTTTGCTTTTTAAATCTTTTTACTGTCTCGAAAAAAAAAGTTTTGTGGGGGAGGGGGAAATTGTAGGGCTCTGCCAATAGTAGCGAGCAGGGGATACAGTCTCTTAGCATGTTATAAAATTAGAGATGTATTTTGAGTTTAAAGCATTAAATATTTTGCTTTGTTTGAAGTTGAGAAAAGAGGTCAGATAAAAACAATTAAAATTTAAATTTAACTTACATTATGGTTGCGAGAAGCCATATACAAAACCTCTTACTATATTTTAAAATTCAAGGTGTACTTTGAGTTTAAAGTTCTAAAAATGTGGCTTTCTTTTAAAACTTCAACTCCGATAAGCTTAATTAAAATTTAACTTTGACTAGCGTTAATTTTACTTTTACCTCTGGTTCCAATAAATGTAAAATCAAAAGCACGCGTACAACGGAAGATAGTTCTTAACTTTCTTTCTCGGGAGTCTAAATCGTAAATCAGTTCTAAGAAGGTTTGATGTGTTTTCTTAAGTTTCCCAAGTTGCAACTTCAACCTGCACGATTTATGTGCTAGAACACGTGTAAAGCATTAAAGTAATGAGACTATAACGTTGTTTTTGAAAAATCTGGCAGAATCTAAAAATAAATATACTTCTATTATTGAAATACAAACAGTGAAGTTTCCAGATCTTTTATGATCTCTCACTCTCTCTCTCTCTCTCTTAAAAACTGACGTTACATTTGTGAAATCTCAAACAGCAAAAGCACCTTTGTGAAAACAAAAACATATTTTTTTTTAGGAGGTCCGTTTCCTTATTGGATTGTTTTTACGCCAAACTACTCTATTGCAGTTGGCATCAGTAAAATAATCATATATCAAGTTCGTAAGCATGATGAGATCTTCTTCGAGATTCTTTCTCGTTGTAAATAATAAGGTTGGACCAAAAGTCGAAAGTATTCCAAACTAGAATGATAAACCTGCTCAAAAATATATTAAAAAAATTAAATCTAGTACGACAATTAATATAAAAATGAAACATATTTTTTGTACCCATAGATTTTAATACTATGGAAATACTATAGTATCTTTATCTAGATCTGGAATAAATTGTTTGCGATTTCTTTAAAATAACGGTGGAATTTATCATGAGGAATTAACCACTTTCATTAGTTCTATTATAAAGTTTAATTTCTTTTCGCTATGAGATATCGTACGTACACCCCCTTGGCTGAGAATGAATTAAGAGTCAAATATCCACTTAATCTGCATATTATTTTATATTACATCTTTTTAATATGAATTGTTCTCACAAATTTTCTAAACAAATATTTTGGCGTTAACATGAGACATTAAAACATCTGTAGGTTTTATCAGACCTGCCAACTTTTAATCCCTTCCATTATCATTTTTCCTAGTGGCATACCTGCCAACCAGAGTTGGCCGTTGATTACAGTAATCGATTACAACTGTAATTGATTACAGATAATTACAGCTATGTAATCAATTANTAAAATAGATTATAGAACAATAGATGGCGTAAAAGATACTCAGAAAGGTGAAGGGGGCAAGTCGCCAATGCGTAAGTGAGGAGGAAATAGCTATAAAATAACCTTCTGGGGATATTTAATTCCTACGAGATATAATTCTTATTTAGGGATGGGGAAATTTGTCGCAATTTTATGCCTAAAATATATTTTGATTCCTTCACAGAGATGCCAACTGCTCCGGACACGACAAAATAATTAAAAAAACGGTAAATAACTACAAAGTAAATTGTGCAAATATTTTACTATTTCTGCTCGCTTTTTAAAAGGTACAGCATGACGTAAGAACCACAAAGTGGTGAATTATACAACCCTACGAATTATTTAGAAGTAGTGGTGGATAAAAATTGAATTTATTAAACCAAGAATTACAATTGATAAACTACGACTTTAAAAGATATATCTGCTGTCCGGAGCAAGTTGGCATCTCTGTATATATATATATATATATTTAAGTTTTTAGCACTTGTGGCGGTCACGTAGGCATCATTTCTTTCATGGCCATGGGTGAAAGCCCTTATATAGCAAGACGGAAAAGAAAAAAACCTGGTACGAAAAACATTTCATTCCAGCATTTTTTTCGAAAAAAATGAAATATCTGTAACTATCAAGATTTCTTTTATAATTCTGGCATATATATAAAACTGCTTCTTTTCCAAGATAAAGTAGATATTGTTGAAAAATTTAAAAAAAGAATAAGTAAACTCCTCCCCAAAACTAGCTATAACTGAAATGGTTTTACTACCAGCCTTTCCCCTTTTCCGTCTCGCTTTCACCCCTATTCAGGGCAGTCAACAGTTTATACTTTTTGCAAAAAGTTATTCTAGTGGTATCTAAGTTTATGTTTTAATATATTATTTTTTATTCAATTAAACTTATTACCCTCACCACTACTAATAAATGATTTAAAAGTTCATATGCATCGCCACTTTTTCTACAAGTTTCATCTTACAATTTATAATAATTTATCTTATGACGACCAGATTCAATGAGTCGGGTGAAAATTTTGGTAAAATTACCAAAAATTCTAAAAGTTTTCATTTTTAAATGTGCTCTATTCTATAAAATGTTCTTCAAAAGCGCAGTATTGGCAGGCCTGTTCTTTCAACAGTAAACTTTAAACAAACGTGATGAACTTCTTGTACCACTTCTAATTTTTTTTTAAAAAAAGCAGTTAAATTTTAGTCGTTCCTTCAATTTCGTCATAAAATCACAACTGCTGAAATTTGTCAATCTGAAATATAAAAACTCGAGGCATTTCCTCATGATGACACATTTTTACTCATCTACAACTAAAATTTTTAAGCAAGCCTACTTTAGAGCAAGCTGCTTTAATTATTTCCATTTAATTTTAATTACTAGAAGAGTATATACAGCAAAGTGCTAGAAGAGTATATACAGCAACTTCAACTCCTGCTGATCATAATGACTCAACACAAACTGAACTTTAATTCACTATGAATGGGATAGGGGTCGCTTCGCCTCCCAGGTGTCCTGATAAATTGTATCACTAGGACTTTCGATCTCATTTTCCAAATTGGATATCAACTATCAATACACTTCTGCAGATTCTTTCCTTATTATTCTTTGACTTAAATTCTAGTCTCAGATTATATATTAAATTATATGAAATTGAGTTACCAATAATAGGATGGGTGCGTGTATGCCAAAAGCTGACAAGGCACTTCCAGATATCAATATCTGCACAGTTCTGGACTTCAGAACAGAAAAATCGAAGAAGGGTGGCTTTTCCTTCTGGATGTTCTTATCTTTTGCCTTCGAACGTTTTTGCAGACCCTTCAAGTGCAGGATGGCTCTTCTCTGAGGATGGTAGAGAGATGCAGGCCTGTAGAAGATGCCCAGTATGAAGGTCAAAGAGGTCATACCCGTTATCGCCTGAAGACCGAGCCTCCAACCTAATGAACTGATAAAAATAATGATAAGGTCATTTATTTTTCACAAATTAAAATGATATTAAAGTTGTATAATATATATAATTATGTGTAATAGTATGCAAAAATGTGAAAACACTTCCATTCTAAATTAAATAAATAATTGCAAGAAAATGAAGCGGTAAGATATTACCTGATTCAAAAGATTCATTCATTTCAAAATTATACAAATAATAAATAACAGTCGACATGTTTCAAGCTCTTCAAAGTTTGGCATGACTTCGACATGTTTCAAGCTGTTCAAAGTTTGGCATGACTTCGACATGTTTGGCGCCCATTCTCAAACTTTCCAGGCGTGAATGAAACGAAGCAAAAGTGATTTGAAATAAAAAACGTAAAGTTGCCTACGAAAAATATAAAAAATAAAAATGAGAAACAAAACTAGACTTGATTAGAAACAAAACAAAACTATACCCCCCTCTAAGCCACCAAGCGTTTTCCTATTATGTTTTTCACCTTTTTTCTTTCTTGTTTTTCTCGTTTTGTTTCTCATCTTTATTTTTACTGTTTGTGTGGACAACTTTGCACTTTTTATTTCAAATCACTTTTTTTAAAATTCTCATTCACGTCTGGAAATTGCTGAAAATGAGCGCCAAACATGTCGAAGCTATGCCAAACTTAGAAGCGCTTCAAACATGTCGACTGTTATTTACTATTTGTATATTTTAGAAGCGAATGAAGTTTTTTAATCGGGTAATACTTTTCTATACTAATTCTGTGCTAATAATCTTTTTTTTTGCAACAAATGTTTTGAAGATTCGCATTAGCAAACATTTGGCGCTATTTGAAAAATCATACTAGCTGCTTTTAGAAATGATGTCATTCTTAGCCATGCTAAATTCAGATTGATCAAAATGAGGAAAGCAAGGCTCATTGATAGCGTTGTTTCCAACAATTTTGAAATCATTGAATGTTCTATCCCCTCAGCCACCATGCCTCCTTTCTTGGCTATAGTTGGTCTAAACTATCAGACAAGATTTTATTTCATTTAAAAAATTTTACCAAAATTGTTTGTTTTATTTTTAAATTTAATAAAAGACCAAATAGGAGAGATGATCATTAATGGCCGCTGGTCATTAACCCTTTCGCACCGACTGTCACAAGTCTTTAATGATAATTTTTCACCTATACTTGCATAAGAAATCTTTTAACTTCAGGATTGGTATAAATTTGATAAGCCTTTTTTCTGGTTTGGGACATCAGATGACTTTTTTCAGTCCTCGTATAAATGGGATGCTAAGGAACCTACAGTTGTACTCACCTCACAGCCTGCGTGACAAGCAGAGGTACTGTTGCCATCCCAATTCCAGTACCAGATATCACAAATATTTCCATAAGCTCTCTCTTTTTCTTGAAGTACTGGCCAACCATGATGGAGGAGGTACTTCTGGTGAGACTAAAACCGGTACCGAGGATGATGGCGTAGCTGAAATATAGTTGATGGAACTGTGAGGCAAAGGAAGTGAAGAGGCATCCAAGGGCAGCGACTAATCCCCCAAGAATGGACAGAAGTCGAGTACTTTTGCGTCTACTGAGTGCTACTATGATAGGAGCGAAGAGGAATGTCACGGACATCGAAGCTGTACCAAGTATCACTGAAACACACAGAAAAAGAACAGCGTGAGCATTGCACTTGCTTTAAAATAATTTTTACATACCAACCCACTCTTCTACATTTAGCAGAAGATTTCGTTCTAATATATAATGTTATCGCGAATTTTCTATATTAGCGTTAAATGGTCTGTAGGTATTTCAAGTTTATTTCTCACCTGGTATAGTTTTGATCACTTGCCCATGGACTTGCAAGTGATCATGTAAAGGTTAACAACAAGATATTACTTGAAGACAAATAAGTCTTTACTTATTTTTTTCTATAATGTTTTGAATTATGTATTTATTAAATAAGATTTATTTGCTGTATTTTGTTTACTTTTCATTTCGCACCAAGACACAACACATTGCATCCCAAACTAGAGCATAGATGTTGCACCTTGGGGTACTTTGCAATGCTGTAAGCAATAATTTATTACTCCCTTTAAAATAACATATTTTTAATTTCAAACTTTTTCCAGATTTTTTTAAAAGGTAAGCGATGAGGTATTACTTTCATTTCTACTGTAATCGTACCCAAGTAAAAATAAAAATATTTATTTTCAAAGTGTCCCAAATAACAACGCCTTCCCCTATCAGCATATCCTACCACTTTATACACTTGAAAAATAGCTCCCGGAAAAAGCGGGAGAAGTTGAGAAAACCCAACTACTTTTCTGAGCTTGTTAAGTCATGAAATGATGAGTTATTGCAATTAATTGCTATAAGTTAGTTATTGCTGTTAATCATTGTTAAAAAGCGACAAGTTTTTATGCATATTCTTATGACAATAATGAGTTATAAATAATGAATTATAGCTGCAAAACTTTTAAGACTTTATTGGCTAAACAACAGCAAATAAAAAGTTATAGGACCTGACTCCAATGTCTATCAGTTTAATTCTGAGATATTCTCAGAACTGATGCGTAGATCATTATCATATCAAATATACTATTCACAAAATCCATTAGTCTTTTCACCATAATTTTTAAAAAAAAGTCTAAGAAACTCCAGCATGATTTTGAAAGCGTACATCACCTCCTAAGCTTGATAAATTACTTCGTCGGATGACAAGTACAGACTCAAAACTTGGTTAAAATTATTTTGCACTTCTTTTGACAGGATACGAAATTAATAGCAGAAGATCATGAATGATTGATGCTTCCAGGGATTTCAACACCTGAGTTCAAATAACCCAAGAACAATTTTTCCGGTGGTAACTTAAGTCAAATATTATTTGTTTTCGTAACATGTGTAAACGGTGAAGATTTGAAAATTATTGCTATAAATCATTGTTAAAAAGTGACAAGTTTGGATACATTTTCTTATGACTGCAACTTACTTGGATGCGATAGGTTTCCTTTATATTGCTTCATTGTTAATCTTTTTGTTTTGATCTTCTAGAAATAATCTACATATTTAAGAAATTATTGTTCAATTGAGTCGATCTTCTTGATCTATGGATAAGCTATTAATCTATTGGAATTCGATTTAATTAAATACCGAACTTAGAACCAAATTAACACATTCACTGATAACTGGGTGAGGTGATTATACTATATCTATTCTTGAAGAATGGTTATCGATAAAGATAAAATCTGAGTTAAATTTTCTTACTTTAGCAACCATTTCCTTTTTTAAACTTTACAAAGATTTATTATCCTATAGAATAGTTGATCAAGGCTAAAAGTTATTATAGATTAAGACGGGAAAGAGTAAAAAATTTTTATTACAGTTTTTTTCGGGAAAAATAAAAATATCCATGACCACCAATAGTTTTTTAACAGTTATAACACATGAAAAAAACGTTAATATGGTGCCCAAGAAAAAGGAAAAAAAAGTATGCTTGGACAATTATAGTTCAAAATGAATTAAAAATATGAAACAGTCAAGCTAATTTAATTCTCCTAATACGTTTCTAGCAAAATAAAATAGTTTTAAGTTAACTAAAATTAGAATAAACATTGAATAGGAAACATCTTACAGTGACAATAGGAAATGCTGCGAAAATGACAAAATTAATGTCTTTTTTTAAGTAAAGAAAATACAGGCAACATTCAGAATTAAAGAAAGTTTAAATATGAATTATAAAAGATTCGCTGATATAAATAAGACTTAATTAAGAAAATGCTCAAAGCATTGGAAAAATGGATTTTTACTTTATAAATTAATAAAAAGCAATTCTTTACCATTATAAGATAATGCTCTATTCTTGATAATTAAATACAAAACACGATCTCTATGATTAAATTATCCTCGTTAATAATAAATTTAAAAGTAATCTGATATTAGAATATTTTATTTAAACAAAACATTCTTTAAATAATCATCAAACTGACGATGTTCAGGAAAACTGTTTAATGAGTTTACAAGAAATTTAATAATGGAAATACATTTGTCGCCTTAATTGTAAAGCGCTGTCTGGCAACTGCCATTGCGAATTAACTAAATGAAGACTTCTAAAATTCCTTAAACGTAATTTCTCATCGTCTGCTCTCAAATTAATATCAAGAGAATTTAGTCGTCTGCCAAAAAGTAAAATGTCATTAATTTCGACAGTAGCTAGATTTTTATGCTCTGATCAATGTTGTCGTGTTTTTTTTCTTGGAGCTTTTCTATCGTTAGAAGACATTCTTAATAACTGTCAACAATGTCATCCCAAGTCAGTGGTTTGGTTCATTCGATTGTAGCTTTTTTGTTTATTTGTTTGGCAACATTCCTATCTTAGATCAGTGACAGCGTCATCATAGTTTCTTTTCTCCGTGATCTATTCAGTACAAAGTAAAAGTTATTGCTGTATTTTTGCTATGTCCATTCAGTTTGTTTATTTAAAAAGGGAAACGTAATCAAACATTATGAAAGAAAATGTCATCTTTGTTTTAGGAAAATTAAATCTTAGGTCGCTTTGAAAGAGAAGATGCATAAAAAAAAAACTAATGGCATATTGTCCTAAAAAATAGAGTAAGCATTTAAAATGGTGTATATATTGTATCTTACAACAGTTTAAACTGTAATAGTATAAATATAAACAAAAATTAAATCTGCATACAAATTAAATATACATATTAAATATATCTGAATGCAGAGTATTCAGAAATAACATGCCTTAATACACTACCCTACAATAATGAAAGACGCACTTTCTATTTTTGACATTTGACAAGATTATTAACAAGATTTTTAATCCCCAAACAAATGCCTGTCCTTTTCGTACATGTTTTATTTCCTTATATTATCACATTTTGGTGTATGAACAGTAAGTATAAGGTCTTATCATTTGTAATTAAATTTTGTTTTATGATACAAAATTTGTGGAAACCCTTTATCATTTAGAGGTTTCTATTGAAAAGTACAAAAACTACTTAGAAAATTGATAGAAACTTTTTACATTTTCAAGATAATCGAATTGGACTTTTTAAAAGTACAATCTAAGTTCAATTTTTATTTTAAAAACTAGAAACAACAGTTTATGATTAAACAATTGGCGTAAATCACTTTCACAGTTTTGAAATAAAATGATGGTACGTAATTCATTTGAATTTTTTTCTAATGAAATCATAAATCATATTAGTCGATTTCATTTTCAAATCTGGTTATTAAAATACATCACAAATTGAATGAAATTTGTTTATCTGTTTTTAAACACGTAAAAAAGTTGTATAACTCGATGCTCATAGTAAGCTTTATAACGAATCATGTTTTGATAAGACGAAAATTTAACAAATGATTTGATGATTTAAACAACACCTTTTAATATTACGAACATACAACTAGTAATAAATAAAAATTTTAGCAAAACCTGATTACAATAAATTAAAATTGAATAGCTTAAAAACTATGATTTTTGAGAAAGTAATCAAAAAACTAAATTTGCCAGCAAACTCTAACAGACGTTCGCTGCAGTGATTGATCTGAACTTTCGATTGTTTGTCACAATAATTCTAAAATGTGACTGTTTTATTTGATTTAACCAAAGACGGAACTCATTTTATAAATGAAGGAAGAACTTAATTGAACAGTCGGTTTTCATCAATCTTTTAAACCTAACTGAATTTTCACAACAGACATCTAAAGGGTAATTTAGACTTTATCAGACGTGTGTACTGATGAGCAATGAAAAAGTAAATTATTGCAGAAAAAATAAAAGATTTGGAGATTAAAGACCTTTTTATGTCTGGTAAAGAATTATTTGATGTTATATTTTGGAGACATTAGTTATTTAAGTGTGAAAGAGGTATAGGATAAATTCACTTCGAGGAAGGGTTATTTGGCATTGGATAATACAAAATAAAACATTTTCATGATTATGGTCAACGAATAGAATATCTTAAATCTAAGAAAAGGACAGTTTTTTTCTTTCAAGAGACATAATTTAGAACACAATTATAGACGCTCATATAGAAAAATAGACATTTAAAAGTGTTAAAAATAAAAACCATTAAACATTTTAACGATGCTTTAACATAGGCTATTATTTTGCAATGTATGTGTCAAAAATATAATCGAATTTCCAGTTGTAAATCGGTTATAATTAAAATAAAATTAAATAAATGTTTTTATCGTAACATACATTACTAAGAGAAACATTGTAATTTATATATTATAAATATGTGTTATCTTAGATAAAAGTGAAAAACAACGTGAATAATTCACAAATTAAGTAAAAAAAAATTTTTAACAGCAGGCACTGAATTTATCGTTTTTCACCTTGTAAAGTGCTAGAAGTGTTGCTTATTTTGTGTTGCCTTGTTACCAAATTTACGAAGCGAGCAACATTTCCCACCCTACAATGCCACAAATACCGGTTCATAATATTTGTCACATTCCCACATCGCACACAACAGGCGACAACACACAGAGAGAAGCATCCATGCCCTAAGCGGGATTCGAACTCGCTGCCATTGGCTTCGCAGTCAGGCACGCAAACCGCTCGGCCACTTGGCCAGCCTAAGTACAAAATGGACACATTGTATTTTCACTTTAGTCTACGGAGTGCAAAGTAAAC